TGCAGTTGTTACTGACAGTCAGTTTCGTTCTTTTTTCATCAACCATGTGTGCATTCTATGGTCTCAGGAACATGCATATTTCAAATATGACGCTTAAGACTAGTTTTTATGGTTTTTATTAGCATCTAGCGTTGTGCACATCTACACACCGTACTGTGAGAATGAGCTAGCCCATTACAGCAGTCCAGGAAATGTCCGCTGTGCTGGCACATGTCATGTAATGGTTCCAGACGAACATTTCTAACCTTTATGGCATGAACAGAGGCAGCCAGACCAGCCAACAAATGAAACTCTGGTGTGTAGAAAGTATTCTGATGAACTTATGATGTGTTTGCATTTAATGTGGTATAAAAAGTATTTGGAAAGATTTATAATTTATCTATAAACTGTATAGTACAAAACGTTCAAGGAAGTTCTTCGGGGGTCTTTCCTCACTGACCGCAGTCTTAGCTCACTTTGCCATGGAAGTTCTTTCTGCTTGTTTATGCCGCTCGATAAATGCCACGCCTTGTCCTCGCAAGTCTGTTCCGTTACGGCTTGGGCCGTCAGATCCTAGCCCCAGATCGTGTTTTCGTAGAATTTCGTGAGTATTTGTGTATTTTCCCAGGTGATTGAACATCCGTTATCATTTCACCCACTACAGATACTTGGCTACACCGAGAGAAAAGCGACAGTTAATATTTTAGGCTCCTTGTATGTTATTAGTACGATATTAAATACGTTTATGTGACCAATGTGTGTGTAGATTCTAAATCGTTCTGATGATGGTGCGTAATACTCAGAATTACTGGCGTTTTGGACTGGAAAACTCAAAATTAGCCCAAAATGCTTGTGAAGATGATCATAGAGTAGGACTCGATGAAGCTAGAATTCATGGCTGCACCATAGTTCAAGCGGTCAGTCGCTGGCTTCCCACCGCGGCTGCCCGGGTTCGATCCCGGGTATGGTCAAGTGGGATTTATGGTGGACAAAGTGGCGCTGGGGCAGGTTTTCTCCGAGTACTTCGGTTTCCCCTGCCAATCTTCATTCCATCAATTGCTCCACAATCACCCTCACCTATCATGTGGGGCTGGTACAATAGGCCAGAAGTGGCCGGAGTACGAGGGACTTAGTCCCACCCCACTAGCAATAAAAAAAGCTACGATTTTTTAGAGTGAAACTAACAGCAGATGTAGGAAATATGCGAATCGGTCCATACGGAATGCTTACCCATTCTGACCAGTGAAGCAAGTCTGGACATTTCCCCCATCTGCAGCCACCTTTTCAGCACTAAGGTTACCAGTTCACAGAGATCAGTATCATGCAAAGGTTTCTGTAAGGTTTTAGTCCCGACTGTTCAGTTTTTACTCCACAGATGGCGCTAGCGGTAGGCACAACGTGGTCTCACAAATTCTCTATTTAATCCGATGCATTGGTTTTCATGGTCTTCGTCTGCTGGCTCGGTTTGTTGCAAAAAATTGAATATCCGTTTGTATCTTAGTTTCAGGTCCGTCCATGCTTTATCGCATTTTTGGTTTCGTATTAAATTCTTAATAATCTCTCGGAGGTACCTGTAACCTTTAGAGGGCGCGACCCTCGGGTCACGCATGAGGGATCCCATCTGGTGAGATGGGCCGGTCTGAATGTACTGACTAAAGACACGCGGACCAACAGGTGGCCCGGTTCCTGGAGGCATTATAATACACGGGACACCTTCTCCCCGGGGGACATAAGTATGGGGCGAGGACTGACTGGGCCTCATCACCAGCCTCCGCCCTTAGTATGAGTTAATTTAATGTGAGCCGGGGTAGCACAGCCGGTATAGCGACTGTCTACGGGCTGAACGATCGAGGAGTCGAAGTTCGAGTCCCGGTAGGGTCAGAATTTTCTCTTCTCCATATTGTCTAGACCGGCTCTGGGGCCCACCCAGCCTCATATTCAATGGGTACAGGCGGCTCTTTCTCCTAGGGTAAGGCGGCAGGGACGTGAAGCTGACCACTCACTTCAAACTAGTGCCGAGGTCAAGAAAATGGGGATCTATTCATCCACTTCTCCTCAAGTCTTCATGGCCTAGTGCTTAATTAGTTAAGCACAGGGACAACTTTACCTTTTACCTTTATAAAAGTCTTAATGTTTAAATAAGAGCACACACTTTCTTTTGTTCCCTAATTATAGGCACTGAGAGGAGTGGGATATATTTTAATCGAACCTGGCCAGACTTCATGAGACTGCCACGAGCCAGTGGGTATGACACGCTTCTTTCGAAACTGTAGCGGCATCTTAATAGCCAAGTGCTTTGCTATCGAAACTTCAGCTTGCTGCAACTGTCATACTTTTTATTTAAAACGATAAACGTATATGTTTCCTGATTCATCCGGTAAGTTTGTCTTATGTTCTCATACACATATGGACTATGCTGACATAAACACGATTTGTCTTCGTTGTTTTATTTAAGTATCAATAAGAAGTTAAGTCTATATTAAGAATTGTTCTAAAGTCAGGTTTCACGTTTCATTCATGGATGACTTCTCTAGTGTCATAAATAGTCAGGCCCATACAAGAAATTAAATTAACTTCAGGAGAAACTGAGTTTTTTTTAAATAGAATTCGATAATTCGATAGAGGTACAGGTAAAGTTATCCCTGTAACAGGCCCTGAAGGCCCATAAGGTTGAGACGTCGAGGCTCCCACATTTTCTAGACAATCGGCTCACAGATGGCGGTGAGGCTGTCAGCCTTACGCGCCGGCCGCACTTTACTCCCCAGGAAGATTCCTGGTACTCATTTCTACTATTGGCTGAGTTGAACCCAGGGCTATAGTGCGGCTGGAAGGATTAGGTAAATTGAAAAACCCAACTACCTCATTGGAAATTGAACCCGTGAACTTGCGGTTTGTAGCATAGTGCCTCAACCAACTACGCTACCGCGTTCCCACAATTTGATATAGGTTAGTCACTAACCACCAAAATATTATTTCAAATTCTCGAGATTCCGTGTTATCTTACTTGAGCTTATTGGTGATAAATTTTAATATAGCACATCTCAGAAACTCAGCACCTGTAAGAACGGTATGCCTATTTCACTATCCGAGAAGACTTCGAATGCAAATGAAAAAATACACAGTGGTGAATTTCATTATTTCGTCTGAATATAAAAATTGTCAGTACGGGTTGGGTGTATAGACAAGCTATGGATATGAAGGAAAGTCACTTAACAAGAATAACCCCAGGCAGCTTATGTCGGGACTCGGCGAACACCTAACACAGTAAGCCTAGAAGCAGCTTAATAAGCAGGATCTTATTATGGGCCTAAGTTGAAGGGTTCGTGTGTGCTTTTTTTAATCTACACAGAAGCCAATTTCAGTAACATCTGTAGTACACTATGTACACATTTACTTCTAGTCGCGAGGTCTCAGGCATGGAGTGTCTTCGCTTGTTCGAACGCTAGGATGGTGGGTTCGAATACCACTCAGGGCATCGATGTCTGTGTGTGCATTTATTGTGTTATTGTGTTGTTCTGTGTGTAGGCAGCGGCCTTGCGACGGCTGATNTTGGTGTCTCTCTTCGTCTGATGCCTACCCTTTGACCTGTCCAGCAAGGGAGGCCCTGCCAGTAGCTACGCTACCGCTGGTATAGCATACTCAAACCCCCTCACCACGATAAGGTGGAGACACCAACGAGGGGGGATGTCTGTGTATGCATTTATTATGTTATTGTGTTGTTCTGTGTGTAGGCAGCGGCCTTGCGACGGCTGATCACTCGTCCGAGGAATTCTACGTCTGTGCAAAGAAAGATTACGAAACTGAAGAAGGGGCTAGGGCCCAACGAAGGGCTGTAGGGCCACTGAAGAATGGATGGGTGGATGGATGGATGAAGGAATGAATGAATGAAATTAAGATATACAGAATTAATTAAATTAGTGACGGTGAAGCAACACAGTAGACCGCCTATGTGGTCTAGTAGTCAGAGTTCCTGGCTACAGATACAGAGGCCCTGGGTTCGATTCCCGGCTCCACCATATATTCTGAGAAGTATTGGGTCCGGAAGGGGGTTCGCTCAGCCTCGTGAGGATAATTTGGGAGCTATTTCAAGGAAATAGCGGCTCCTGTCTAGAAAACTGAAATTAACGGCGGTGGGGATTCGTTGCGCTGACCACGTGACACCCTCTATCCGCTAAAGTTGGCACTAAGTTCGCCGACAAGCGGTGGTTGCTCGGTCGGTATAGTTCGCTTACGGACTACGGGCCACGGGCCACGGAGTGTATTTGTTTTGTTTTGAAGGTAAACACTAAGTTTTAAAATTCATGATACAACAGTCACTGAAAATCATAGAAGAAATTTATAAACTTCTTTACTAAAGCGTCATTATATTCTTTGTTGCAGCCTCTAGATATTTCAAGAAAGCCTATGATTCAGTTAAGAGGGAAGTATTGTACAATATTCTCAGAGATTTTGGGATACCCATGAAACTAGTTAAGCTGATTAAAATGTGTTTAAACGAAACGTATAGTAAAGTTCATGTAGGTAAACATTTGTCTGATAAATTTCCTATCCAGAATGGTCTAAAATAAGGAGATGCTTTATCGCCATTCCTTTCCAACTTTGATTTAGAATATGCCGTTAGGAAGGCCCAGAAAAACCAGGTGGGACTGAAATTAAACGGGACACATCAGCTGTTGGTCTATTCCGATGATGTGAATCTACTGGGTGATAATGTAGATACCATAAAGAAAAAGACAGAAACTTTAATTGACGCAAGTAAACAGGTTGGTCTAGAAATAAACACAGAGAAAACTAAGCATATGTTGTTGTCTCATCACCAAAATGCAGGGAAAAATCATGACATAACGATAGAAACCAGATGTTTTGAAAATGTGGCACAGTTCAGATATTTGGGAACGACGGTAACAAATCAAAACCTGATCAGGAGGAAATTAAGAGGAGATTGAACTCAGGCAATGCTTGCTACCATTCAGTCCAGAAGCTTTTGTCCTTGTAAGTTTGTGTTGTACGATTATACTTACTTTAGAATCTTTTGGTGATGGCTTCTCCGAAGGCATTGCGGGAGTCTTCATCGAAAAAGCATCGGGCACATAGCCGAAGAAAGATTTCCCTAGCAACCGGGACTGGGGCTTATTGTCTCCCAAACCGGGGATCCATCCCATTCCATTGTCAGCCATATTTGGGGTCTGAAACAGTATTAATTACCATTGTATTCTGTTGTTTCCACAATGCAGACAGTCGCCTATGCAGGATTAAGTAATTGGAGATGTCTGGATGCAGCCTTGAAAAACATGTTGGCTATGGAGTTTGCAGACCTTGAGCTTCCTCAGTAAACACTGAAAGGGAAACAAGACACGACGGAATACACTTAATGAACTGCAGATGCAGCAACAGCTACAGTTAACACAAGAAGTGTCCATATACACTAAACAAACAGCACAGATATGATATAGAAATTTGTGACGTGGTACATTAGTACAAATATTATGTTCCTGGACACTATCCATCTTCCTGCCTTTCCTAAAATCACCGTCCTGATAAATGTCTCGAAACCTGGAATCAAGCCTCGGAAACCTCAACAGAATAGAAGATGACAATTGGCAAAGAATATGGACTACTCTCTAGGTACATGGAATGTGAAAACCCTCAATAAACTGGGTGCCATAAAACAGATAGATAAGTACAATATGAAAACCACAGCCATACAGGAAATTAGATGACTGGGTAAAGGACTCATGGAATTAAAGAGACATACTATATGTTACAGTGGTAAAGCAGAAGGCAATAAGGAATATGGTGTAGCCTTTGTAATAGAACAAGAATTTAAAAGTGCAATAATAGACTTTAAACCAATGAGTGAAAGAATTTGCACTTTGAGAATTAGAACAAAATTTTTCAATATGACGTTGATGAACACGCACGCACCTACAGAAGAAAAAGAAGAGGATGTCAAAGACTATTTCTATCAACAAATGGAAGAGACATATGATTCAATACCAAGTAGTGACATAAAGGTTATTTCAGGGGATCTTAACACCAAAATAGGTAAAGAGAAGGAATACAGGGAGTAATTGGGACAGAAAGTTTACATGATACAACCAACCATAATGGAATAAATTTAATAGATTTTGCAGAAAGTAAGAGCTTGATCATCAGCTCTACATACTTCCCACAGAAAAATATACATAAAAGGACATGGGCAGCACTGGATGGGGTAACCTTCAATCAGATAGATCACGTCCTCATAGAGAAGTGATTTGCTATGAATATCCTGGGTGTAAGAACATTAAGATGGTCAATCTGTGAGAGTGATCATTACTTAGTACAGCTTAAATATAGATGTAAAATAAGTTGTCAGAGGTCCAAGCAGTATGAGAACTGTAAGAAACTTAATATTGACAANTATATGAAGGAAGGTTTCGAACCAAAAACAGAATTTATCCGAGACAAAAAAGGGCTTCTAATAAATAATAAAACAGAGATTATAAATACATGGAAAGAATATTTTGAACTATTATTAAATCAAAATGAGAATATGGAAGATAAAGAGGACAATGAAGTGGAAAATACAGACGATGGAGAAGGGGAAGAGGGAGAGATAATAAGAGCCCCCAACAAAGGAAGAAGTGGAAGAAGCATTAAAGGAACAAGGAGATAACATACCAGCAGAATTACTGAAGGCAGGAGGACAAGAAAGAATAAGAGCACTCCACAGAATTATAAATAAAGTGTGGGAAGATTAAAAGATACCAGAAGATCGGGGAAAGAGCATTATTTGTTCCATATTTAAAAAAGGGGATATTTTAACACGCAGTAACTATAGAGCTATATCATTACTACCGACAGCATATAAAATTTTAACAAGGATACTAAAAAAGAGACTGGATTCATATATGGGTCATTCCATGTGAAGTCATCCAGAGAGGTCGCTCACCATTTTTAAAAATATTCAAATTTTGTACACTTATTTCTACATATTTTCACACCTCAAAAATATTTAAAAAAATTGTAATCCGCTTGGTTCTCGCGGTACAGCCGTTTTTATAATGCGAAAAGACGTGTTTTCGGCTCAAATAGAGGTTTGCGTTATCTCCCATAACTCGATAAATATTGAAGCTAGAGACTCCAATAAGAAATCGATTTGTTCCTCATTATATGGACTACAAATCATGTCATTACAAGGTTTCACTCAACTCACTTCCTCTAGGTCTAATTAAGCTCGAAACTTACACAAACTGTGGCTCTATCGTGTTTTACATGATCACTGATTATACACAAGCTTGGGCATTTTGTTATGGTGTCCGCCTTGTAGCAGTACACAAAAGGGTGACGTGTAGCCTGTTGATTTACCCAGTGGAAACTTCGAATCTCGTCTTGAACGAGAAACGAATAATTTTCTGCAAAATCTGTAAAATTCAAGGTGTCCACAACTTCGCTATTAGTTGAATATCAAAGTTGTAATTTTAATTTCCAGTTACTCTGGAATAGAGCATTATTTGATATGAATTTCAAATTCGTCGGAGCTTCTCCACTGGAGATATGAGATGTTAAAAATTGCCGATTTTGGGCCCAGAGCAAAGTTTGGAAGCTCCTGGAAAATTTTGGTAAATAGATACGGTGTTAAAAACTATGTTATTATATTCTTCATGTAGGAGAAAACAAAGGGTAGAAACCACAAATCTAATACTTTCCCCTTCCCATTGGTTTTTGAAGGTCAAAATAGCGATTTTCCCAAACTCGATAGGTAATTTTCAAGCTTAATTACACCCAGAGGAAGTGACTTGAGTGAAACCTTGTAAGGATATGATTTATAGTCCATATCATGAGTAACAAATTTGTTTCTTATTGGAGTCTCTAGCTTCAATAGTTATCGAGATATGGGAGATAACGCAAACCTCCATTTCAGGCGAAAACGCATTTCTTTCGCATTATAAAAACTTCGCTGTTAGTTGAATATCAATGTTGTAACTTTATCTCCAAGTTACTCTAGAATAGGGCATATTTTCTATGAATTTCAACATTTTCGGAGCTTCCCCACTGGAGATATGAGACGTTAAAATGGCCGTTTTTGGTCCCAGAGCAAAGTTTGGAAGCTCCTGGAAAATTTTAGAAAACAGGTAAGGTGTTCAAAACTATGTGATTATATTCTTCATGTAGGAGAAAACAAAGGGTTGAAACCACAGATCTGATACTTTCCCCCTCCCATTGGTTTCTGAAGGTCAAAATTAGCGTTTTTCCCAAAATCGATAGGTAAGTTTCAAGCTTAATTAAACCTAGAGGAAGTGAGTTGAGTAAAACCTTGTAAGGATATGATTTATTGCTCATATTATGGGGACAAACTGGGTTTTCATTGGAGTCTCTAGCTGCAATATTTATCGAGATACAAAAGATAATGCAAACCTCCATTTGAGCCGAAAACGCGTTTTTTTTCGCATTATAAAAACGGATGTACCTTGAGAACCGAGCGAATTACAATTTTTTAAAAAATATTTTTGAGGTGTGAAAATATGTAGAAATAAGTGTACAAAATTTGATTTTTTTTAATGGTGAGCGACCTCTCTGGATGACTTCACATGGAATGACTCATACAGAAAAAATAATAGGAGAATATCAATCAGGATTTCGACCCAACAGGTCAACAATAGACAATTTATTCACCCTGAGGCAGATAACTTAGAAATGCTGGGAATTTAATGCAGATATTTACTTATGCTTCATAGATTTTAAACAAGCATATGATACAATAATAAGGAAGAAATTAAGGATGATTATGTCCACTTTTGTTATTCCAACAAAAACTAGGTAGAATAATTAACTTAACCATGACAGAAACAATCAATCAAGTTCAAATCCAGAACCAGTTAACAGAATGCTTTAAGACAAATCAAGGATTAAAACAGGGAGATAGTTTGGCACCATCACTATTTAGTTTGGTATTGGAATATATAGTGGGGAAATGTAGTGTGGACACAAGGAACACAACAGCGTATAAACAAACGCAAATAATGGCATATGCGGATGATATTATTATAGTATCGAGATCCCTAAGAGCAATGAAGGAGACATATAAAGGAATAGAAACCATAGCAAAAACAACTGGCTTAGAGGTGGAAGTAAATAAAACTAAAATGCTGATGCAAACTGGAAAAATTAACATGGAAGGGGACGGGATATAAATAGTTGAATACTTCATATATTTAGGATCGAAATTCCACAAAGATGGAGAGGAAAGTCATGAAATAATAAGAAGAATAAAGCTAGCGAATAATGCATATTTCTCGTTACTATCAGTTTTTAGATCAAAGGATATACACCGAGCGATTAAAACAAAAATATATAAAACAATGACAAGACCGGTGCTTTATTATGGATGTGAATGTTGGATGCTAAACAAGAAAGAGGAATCAGTCATCAATTCATTCGAGAGGAAAATCCTAAGACGAATTTATGGACCAATACAAGAGAATGGGATATGGAGAATAAGATAGAATACAGAGTTATACAAATTATATAAGGAGCCAGAGATCTCAGTGACGATAAAGCTTAAAGATTGCAATGGGCTGGACATGTACAGAGAATGGATAAGGAGCGTATCCCAAAGAAAATGTTATATAGTACAACAGGCGGTAGGAGACATGCTGGGTAACCAAGAACTAGATGGATTGATGCAGTGGAAGGAGATTCAAAGTAGTGAATGGGTGTAAGGAACTGGGAGAGAGCAGTGCAGGACAGAGAGGAATGGATGGGGCTTGATAAGGGAGGCCAAGGCCTGACATCGGGCTCTTGCGCCATAGAAGAAGAAGAAGAAGAAGAAGAGTAGGTTTTACCTGAAGATGGAATCAAATCTCCGAAACGTTGTGTTTTGAAATATAAATATGACGGTGTTTTCAGATAAAGACAGGGCGATGGATAAGGTGCAGAAACATAATATTTGTACAAACCATAGAGAGTCTGGCGAAAATAATGCAATACAGGATATAAGCAGTCACTAAAGAAGTGAAAAAAGTGAAAAGAAATATACTTCTCGCCATGAAGATGTCAATGCCCTTGCAGACTGGATGGGCAGTAAGAGGGACTGACCTTACAGTGATCGCGTACAGCTACATAATAGACACTGCCTCTGATTAACGTTGTATGAATCCGTACACCAAACGTATCCATTGCGGGTAACTAGTTTTGCTTTAAA